TTATTAAATTATTATTAATTGCTAAATAAATGTCCTGTTCTGCAGCCACTACTTTGAAGGGTTCTTGATGTGCCTGAGTAGCCAAATTCTGGCAAAGTAGCTCTGATCATTGGGGACTACTCATATCTGCCACAAATAACCCAGTATTTATGCGTCGCCTATTTTGTGTTTGGTCAATTTGTAATATTTTCCTAAACTGCCAGTCTCTTAAACAAGTCTAAGAGAACATTTAACTAACTGAACTGGGACAAATATCAGTGTTGTCAACATCACCCTTCCCTCTCACCTCCTGCTCTTTTCCCCATCCCCATCCTCAAAATTCGAATCCATTTGTACCACTGATGTGAGTTAGAAATGTTGTTTGGCAAAACGAGAAGTAGGATAATGGAGAAAGATATTTCCACTCCCTCTCTTTCTTCCCCTTGGCCTGGTGGCAACATGCTGTGGTGGGAGCCAAGCCGACATTCGACATCTGAATCCCGGCTATGTCACTCACTTATGACCTTAGGCAAGGCACTCAATCTTTTGAAACTCCAGTTTCCTCCCGTAAACTGGGGGCTATGTGCCTACCCCACAGGGTAGTGGGAGTATTAAATAAACCAGTGCTTGTAAAGGGCTAAGTATGAAGAGTCTGGTTCATTACAGGAGATAAACTAAGTGTTGACCTCATTCGTTTACTCTTTCTTTGCATGGAAAACATACCCCCAGGGAACGGTCTCTTAGTCATTTCTGTGCTTGTAGTGTTGAAAAGATTGCCAGACCCAGAGCTTGTGATCAATATATATCTATTGAACAAATGAATTTATTTAACATTTCTTGCATTGGAATTTGGCCACATTTTGACCCCATGAGCTCTCTGACATTCTCGAATCTGTCCACATGTCTGATGTATTATTTCTCCCTCTGATGCTTTCTAAAATAGCAAAGTCAATGGAATATACTCTATCAGTTGGTAGGGAAATTACTGTAAAAAATTTAGGCCAAAATTTTTTTTCTCAGTAGAGCAACTAAAGACAATCCAGGCTTACGTAGTCTGTAGAATTTCATGTTATGTGCCTCAAGTTAATTCCTTTTTATGAATTCTTAAAAATAGTGTTTTCCTAAGAATCTTCATAACCTGATGGTTAGGATATAAAACGGCAATTTGGTGATGTATATCAAGAGCCTTTAAAATGCTTTTAGCAAGTAATCCCAGTTCAAAAAATTTATCCTGATGAAATAATAATCCACATACATGTGTAGAAAAATGGCCATTGCAGTATGTGTAGAATAATGGCCATTATTTGTATGAAAAGAAGGGTCACCTGAGTTACAACAAAAGGAGAAAGTTTAAATTAATTATGGTTAAACAATCATTGCACTCTTGGGTTTATATCTGGAAGAAATAAATATATATGTCCACTAAAAGGCATGCACGGAATGTTCACAAAACACTGTTCATGATAGCTCCAAATAGGAATCTACTGAAATGTTCATCTGTAAGTGGAATAGATCTGTAATTTGCAGTATATCCATATAATGGACTAGTATGCATTAAGGAAGTACTAAGGAGAAGAAACAAAGTATTGCCACATGAACAACATGGATGGATTTTAACAACATAAAGCTGAATATAAGAAAGCCAGACATAGGGGCGCCTGGATGGCTCAGTCGTTAAGTGTCTGCCTTCGGCTCAGGTCATGGTCCCAGGGTCCTGGGATTGAGCCCCGCGTCGGGCTCCCTGCTCGGCGGGAGGCCTGCTTCTCCCTCTCCCACTCCCGCTGCTTGTGTTCCCTCTCTTGCTGTATCTCTCTCTGTCAAATAAATAAAAAATCTTTAAAAAAAAAAAGAAAGCCAGACATAAGAGAATATATACTGCATGATTCTATTTTTTTAATTTTCAAAAACTGCTAATATTAAAATGGCATGACTATGAAATGGGATATTTTGCAGCTATTAAAACACTTAAATATATTAGAAAATGTTCATAATTTAATAAAAGACAGTAATATTTAAAGTTGTATGCATAATATATGACCCCCATTCTGAAAAAAATCATATATATATATAATATATGACCCTCATTCTGAAAAAAATCATTTATATATATAGAGAGAGAGGGGAAGAGAGAGAGAGAAGTATCAGAGTCTTGATACAAAATATATGATAATACTCAGAATAATTAAAGGAGGCTTTATCTTAAAGGATGGTCAGGGGGTAGGGGAGCCACAAGGGATAGGGCAGCAATAAAGCTGTTGCTTCCCTGAGACCTGAAGAGACAAGAGGAGGACCAGATCCCAAAACCCAGGAGATAGTCGCCCAGAGAGGAGAGGAGTGGTGGCCTTTGGGTGAAGGTTACAGCCTTCAGTGAATTTGAAGGGAGAAAGACAGGAATAACCCAACTCATTCTTCTCTCTTCTCCCAGTCTCCTGCTGGGGTTTCCATTACCCAAACCCAACAAGAAGCCAGAGGCACCGCTGATGAGATCCATACAGGTCAGCTGACAGAGAGCAGGGTGCCTGGGGGGGGTGTGTGGCCCACTGACCGCACGAGGCACTGGCTACCGATCAGACTGATTCCTTTGATAACCTAGGTGAGAGCCAGTGCCCAAGAGATGCCCCATTTGTTTCTATATATACATACCCTTATATTGTTTTACCATTGCAATAATATATGCCTGTTTTTTAATCCTGGAAAGATGTATCAGAATGTGTGTGTGTGTGTGTGTGTGTGTGTGTGTGTGTGTGTGTGTGAAGGGATGGGTGCCTGTGAGGGTATATATGTGAAGTATGGGACTGGATTTGTGTGTGAGAAGAACGGGTGTTTGTGAAGGTGCACAGGCAATATGTGTTATTTATGTGTGTGCATGTCTGTGGAGTATGTATGTTAGTGAGAATTTGTAGGAGGGGCTGATTGGGAATAAGTGTGTGTGAGAGGTGGGAGTGGGCTGTGTGCTAAGATGTGTGTTTGTGACAATGCACGCGTACGTGTGAGGATGCACAGAAGGATGTAAGACTGGGTACCCTGACGGGATAGTTAGATGTGTTCCAGGGTGTTTGTGAGAGGTGTGTGGGCGGGTGTGTGTACGTATGGGTGATGGTGCCTGGGTGTGAGAGAGATGAGGACGTGGAAGGGGGTGTGAGAAGAAATGCATGAGTAAGGAGGGGGATGAGTGTGGCAGTATGTGTAAGGGGATTTATAGATAGTATGTGTGTGCATGTGAGCACACAGGTGAGTGTATTTATATACATCCATACACATAGCAGTAGAAACATTTCCTTCTAGGAAAAAAAGAAAAACTGAAAGAAAATACTCTAAAATGTTCATAATAGTCTCTAGTGTTGGAACAGGGATCCTGGCTACTTCACTCACTCATGACCTTAGGCAAGGCACTCAATCTTTTGAATCTCCTTTCCTCTCCTGTAAGTTGGGACAGTGTACCTACCTCACAGAGCAGTCGGAAGGATTAAATAAGTCAATGCTTGTAAAGGGATAAACATAAAGAGCCTGGCTCATTACAGGCAATAAACAACTCTACTTTTCTGCTACTTTGTAGTCAGAAAAACAATGAACATTTCAGCCTGTTTCCTTCATTCCAAGAGCACATGAAAAATATTGTACCTTTCTGGAAACATGTAAAAATAATACATATCTTGACCAACAAAATGTGTCTTAATAGGAATGTATTTGAAAATTGGAATCCTCTTTTTCTTTTTTCTTTTTTTTTAAAGACTTTATTTATTTAAGAGAGAGAATGAGAGACAGCACAAGAGGGAAGAGGGTCAGAGGGAGAAGCAGACGCAGACCCCCCGCTGAGCCGGGAGCCCGATGCGGGACTCGATCCCAGGACTCCAGGATCATGACCTGAGCCGAAGGCAGTCGCTTAACCAACTGAGCCACCCAGCCGCCCAGGAATCCTCTTTTTCAATATGTAGCCAAATAGATATCTAGGTCCTTGGTTAATTTGTAAAAGGAAATCTTGCCTTTAAAATTCAGATCCATATAAGTGTTTAATTTTTCATGTGATTTCATTAATTTTCTGGTATTCAATAATCAAAACTAATCACAACTGATGCTGACAAGCCAAGGCTCTGATGGTTTTGCATTAATGGAATGGTAGTATGAATGTAATATCCCATTCATATCACATTGTTTTAGCTAAAACTAAAGTCTCAAAGCTTATGCACCAGGCATTATCAGGGATTATCAGTGATGGAGGAGCTTTACTGATCGTTATTTTTTTTTCTTTTAGCTTTGTGTTTTTTATAGTTTTTTTAACGACGAACATATATAGGGCTTATATAATAAGATTTCTATGAAAACTGATTTAAGAGTAAGTTGTTTTCCTAAGTTAAAAAGGCCCTAAATTCTTTCACTGATACTTCACTTTCTCTGCACTGCCTCATTTCTCTAATAATAAAATAATAAGATTTTCCCTATTCCAAGGTCCTTTTTCTTAATAAAAGAAAAGTTTGTGGCAGCAAATGGCTGATGTTATTCTACTTTTAATTTATTTCAAATTTGTCTATTTTCTTACTGATTTACTATCATCAGCATCAGGTCTCCGCAACCCAATTTATTTTGTATTGTTAACTGCAGGCTCCACAGTATATGCATAATGTGAATTAGTTGCTTGGGGTCCTGCATAACTAGTTTACTTTTATGTAGATAACAATAAAAAAGGGGGATTCTGTATATCATATCTTTCCCTCCCACTCAGAAAACAACCTCTGCTATTAAAATGTAAACACAGCAAACTCTATTACAAATGCTATTAAACTTGGCTGAACTCAAGACAATAATTCTTGTAGAACGTACATCTCTGAACCACAAAGGAGCCCTCAAACCCAAGAATGCTTTTTATGATCTGATTAGTGTTTTCCATCTGTCTCAAATAGCACATCTATCAAAGACTCAGTTCAAACAACTTGACTTGGAAACTTGCTAGTAAAATGTTGACAGATATCTCCTTAAAACCAGCTACCACCCTTCTCTAGGGCAAAAGAAAGAGCAACCTGGTGTTACTCTGCTGAATCAAACCACTGCTGTGGCTCCATGAACACCTTCTTTCCCCACTTGAATTTGAGCTCTTCGGAAAGATCGCTCCTGCCAATCTTGTGGAGGTGACGAGCCAGAAGGCGAGCTTTGTCGGTGGAATTTGGAAGTGATTTTTTCCAGAAGCAAAGAAGTTCGTGGATCTGTTCTGTGAGATCACCAGGGTTCTTCAGTCTGATGAGCTCAATGGTGCTGCAGCTAAGAGGGAGGGACAAGGAGAGACTCGCGGCGTTTTCTTTGGAGAGCTCCTCGGCCAGCCAGTGCAGCAGGTTGTCCCACAGGGCTTCTGCCAGGCACACGTGGAACATGTCACGTTAGGACTCTTTCCCGGGGGCAGTGCTGATCCCCCCCTCCGCACCTCTGTCCCGGGAAGTCTAAGGGCTCTCTGGTTTGGCCTCTAACGGTGGAAAGATGTGGAACCAGCCCAGTGGACTGTTGAAAGCCTTTGGATCCCTGCCATTTCTGGGGTCTTCTCCCCGGAGGGAATGACTGATTGCCTAAGACTAGAAATGCTTCTCAGATTTTAACTCCCCTGAGATCCAGGAAGGCTTGTTAAAATGGATTTTAGGCTGTGCCCCAGCTAGTCTAATTAAGTAAAACTAGATAGGGGCAAAATTGAGCATTTGTAACAAACTCTGAGGTGATGTTGACATTGGGGTTCTTAACCATGCTTTGAGTAGCACTATGTTAAAGGATACTTCTAGGTTCAAAAAATTTTTTCTTTATTAGTACTAATCTGATGCATAAATTGTACCAGCAGCTACACAATCCTCTCACCACCAGCCCCAACTATACGCACACACAAACTCACCAAGATCCAACCCAAAGAGCAGTTCTGTGGAAGGTCCTTTACGCCAAAACATTTCCCCTGGCCGCTGGACTATTTGCAACCACAAATCTCTCCTTTGAATATATCCTGTATTTCAGCATACCCCTTCCCTTATCCTGTGACTCACGTCTACCACCTAAACTCATGATTCCATTTTTCTCTTGTTTGGTTGGTTGTTTATTTGTTTTTCTTTGTGTAACTCCGAGCCATCACTCCCAGTAAAGCCCCTGAGCCCCCCCATCTCCCAGCTTCTGTGACCCAGCCTGCACCATTCTCCGAATAACTCTTGCCTGGTCTGATGGGAGGTAAGAATTCTGCATCTGCCACCTCTGACTCCATGATTCCTTCCATCTACCTACTCACAGAAATTGTGCATAAATTTACATTATGAATCATGCCACTTTTCTGGGAAAGCTACCCAGGAAATGGAGTCTCCATTACTTTCAAATCAACATTCTGCTTCCATCGTGCAATATAGGCTCATGATGGACGGGCAGGCCTCCTCTCCCCATCCACATCTTCTATCTCCTGCCATTGGCTGGCAGCAGCATCAGTAACCCTGTTGATAATCAGTCACAGCTCCGACCACATTGTTCCTTAATCTTGTTGACATCAATCACCTGTGATTCCACATAAGAAACTGACTTTCGTGGCCAATCCTCAGGTTTCATCTCCCTCCAAGGCATCAGCTTCTCAATATTACTGCTGACCACTACTTCCTAAACTTCCACAGCTCTGTTCTGTTCCTCCTACTTAATATGCTTCTTGCCCCTGTCACTGACACAGCGAGTCCTTTGATGACCGTCACTCATCTCTACTGGGTCTCACATACCTTCATACTATTAGAAGCACATGCTGCTCCTCATGATCAGCTATGTACGTCAACAACCGCCTTGCATCCACCTTGGAATCTGTTGTCCTTTTTAGCTTTCATCGTTATCAATTTATCAATTGCCAATCCTGCTTTACTCACCCTACACTCAACTACCGAGATGTCCAGGGTTATGAAACTATGCCAGATGTCATCAACTAACTCTGTGCTCTGCACACCATTCAAGCCTTTATAGCAGCTAACAAACCCATTAAAAAAAAAAAATCTTTTTCCTAAATACAATATTCCCGGCAAGCACAAGAGGGGTGGGGGTAAGGGTAGAGGGAAAGGGAGAAGCGGACTCCCCACTGAGCAGGGAGCCCAACACGGGGCTCCATCCCAGGACCCGGAGATCATGACCTGAGCTGAAGGCAGCCACTTAACCGACTGAGCCACCCAGGCATCCTACAGAGCTGGGATATTTCACATCAGAGGAGATGGTTAGGGCAGTAAAAGTTGAATTCATTGAGGGGAGAGGACAGAGAAAGAAGAGGCCTGGGAGAGGAAGTAGTAATTCAGCAGAATCAGGAGGAAGAGAGTCAACAAAGGGGAAAGAGAGGGAGGAGGAGAACCAGGGCAGGCTGTGGCACCCAAGAGAAGGAGTGAAATGCTTTCTAGAAATCAGAGAAGATGCAGGCTGAGAGTTGTTTGCTCTGAGTTGTATTTAGGAGGGTGCTAGGAAGATCAGAAAGAGGATATCTTTTCAAGACCAAGATCACATAATAAATGATCTGAAGATCAATAAATTATTTAGTGACCATTAACACTATAAAATGAATTGTTTTAAAGGCTGAAATAGAATAAAAATGTCAAATTCTACCCTGAAGTCTACATCACTGTTATATAATTGCATTATGCATAACCACAATCAACTATCAAATGTTTCCTTTGTTGTGGTTTCATACCCACATACCTCTATGTAAAATCTACTGGCCTCAAATGTGGAGTTGAAGAGACCACACTTTGATTCACAAATTAATTGTCAACATTTCAGAACTAACTGTAGTTGTTTACCAAAGTAAGCAATTACTTAGTTATCTTAGTAAAATAATCCTTAGCAGGATTCATATTTCTTGTAGATTTCAAAAATTTTAATTACACCCATATTTGAGAATGTTTTGGTTTATATGTGCATGACTTCCAAAGGAAATTCATCTATTAGGCTAATAAACATAATGATTATTTAATTGCAAAGTCACTTTCTCCTTTTTTTATACAATGATTCACATATATATGAGGAAAAATAGTGCCACTGTAAGGAGGACTGAGCAAATATTTCATACCTACAGGATCGGTAGAAATTCTTTGGTACTCTGTGGATGGTTGATCAATTTTTTATGCTATTGGAGGAAAAGGACACAGAATAAGCAGAAGAACTCATTAATTTGTGAACAAGCTACAAATAAAAATCCATCTGAACCTTACCCATATTTGAAAGAAGTACTGAATTGCACACCTTGCAAAAGTAGAATGTGTATGTGTGCATGCATGCTCAGCAATTGCTTTCCTAAGATAAGGCAAAATACATTAACCCAAATCTTTCAATGAATTTAAATGTAAGACTACACGTTTAAATATTAGTATAGCAGTCACGTTAACTCTGAATAAATATTTTCCAACTAAAATTTGAAACTGTTAAGACCAACAAACATAGAGCAAGCTACCTGTATGCAACAAATGCAATATTTTATTAAAGCCCTGATGGGGAAGGCACCTTGCCCCAGCACTCAGCACGAGGCCTGGGTTCTCTAACAATAATTTTTGGGAATGAATGAGTGAACTAAAGTGCATACATGATGCCAAAAATAATCACGTTTTTAAGCAGATATTTTTCTGAAACCAATATTTTATCAAGAATATTCAAATACATAATTATTACTTTTCTCCACTGTCTGCAGAATAGTTTGTTCTCAGTGAATATGGGATCATGGAAACAACACAGGAGATAAAGGAACAACATCTGGGTTTGGAAAACTGTTCAGTTTTTTTTTTTTTTTACCTCTCTGGTCTCAGCTCTGAAATGTGATTTATTAAAAAAAAAAATTTACTTACCTTTTTTACCTCTCTGGTCTCAGCTCTGAAATGTGATTTATTAAAAAAAAAAATCTCAAAAACCTGTATACAAATGTTTGTAGCAGCTTTGTAACAGCCCCAAACTGGAAATAATTAAAATTTCCTGCAGTAGTGAATGGTTAAACAAACTATGGGACATCCACACTATGGGGTGCTATTCAGTAATAAAAGGAACAGATCATTGATACAAGCAATAATTTGCATGGGCCTCTGCCCAATGGTTGAGTGAAAAACTCCAGTCTTAAAAGGTCGCATATTCTATGATTCCATCTATATCACATTCTTAAAATTACAGAATTATAGAGATGGAGAATAGATTCGAAATTGCCAGGAGTTATGGATGGTGGGAGATGACCATAAAGGAGTAGTGCAAGGGAAATCTTTGTGGTGATAAAATAGTTCTGTATCTTGAATGCAGTGGTTACACAATCTATGCATTATATCAATGTCAACTTCTTGGTTTTGATATTGTGGTATAGTTATGTAAAATGTAACCACTAAGGAGAATGGGGTAAAGGATACCCCAGACCTCTCTATTTTCCAACTTCCTATGAATCCATAATTATTTCAATAAAAACCTTTTTTTTTTTAATAGAGTGAGTTTAAATACCTTTTAATTATTTGGAACATTTTGGAAAATACAGACAATCCTGAAGGAAAGAAATACCTTCTACAAATCATTTTCCAAGCTTCATGTAGGTTTTTAAAAAGCTGTCTATAAAACCTGACATAGATTTACTTATATGCAGATGCACTTGTGACAGAAAATGCTACGGTAGTAATTTACAGTGGAACCAAGCTTTGCATGCATGCACAGTAAAGAATATTTCAGTGATCCTACTTAAGGTACTGGTATGAACAATAAAGTTGTTGAAAAGCTAGTATTTCTCATTAATACTGTCCAAATGGTCAAAATAATATACACATAAAAGCATATAAGCTAATATATTAGGAGCCATACAGGATTTCAGAAAATTAAGACTGGTAATCAAAGTTAATTTTTTAAAGATTTTATTTATTTATTTATTTGAGAGAGAGAGAGAGAGAGAGAAAGCACACGAGGTGGGGAGGGCAACAGGAGAGGGAGAAGCAGACTCCCCGCTGAGCAGGGAGCCTGACATGAGGCTCGATCCAGAACCCCGAGATCATGACCTGAGCTAAGGGCAGACACTTAACCCACCGAACCACCGAGGTGCCCCTCAAAGTTAATTTTTTTTAAAGATTTTATTTATTTATTTGAGAGAGAGAGAGCATGAAAGGGGGGAGGGTCGGAGGGAGAAGCAGACTCCCTGCTGAGCAGGGAGCCCGATGTGGGACTCGATCCCGGGACTCCAGGATCATGACCTGAGCCGAAGGCAGTCGCTTAACCAACTGAACCACCCAGGCGCCCAAAGTTAATTTTTAATGACAACATACCCATACAATATTCAATGGCACCAATTTTTATGTGGAAAATGTCATTAGCTATAAATGCCTCCTTCCTGTAAGAATGTTCTCAAAGGCAAATGCCTCTGCCATTTAAGATAAGAGGTGAAATTTTTCTTATATTTGAATATTTTCCTCTCTAAACTATTGAATTGCCAAGTGCCTGATCAAAGGTAATCCTCACATATGCTTCAATACTTCTCAAAATAAAAACTTTTTTAAAAACACTTACTTCACAGCAATGATACAAGGATAATCCAAGTCTGTTACGCTAACTAACATAGCACACTGCTGGTTCATAGGGAGATTTCAATACAAGTGGTTAAATCTGAATATCGTATTCTTGTCATAGTCATCACATAAACATGTATATAAAATTTCCATTGAGAAGCTTTAATGGGGGAAATTAGGAAATAGCATAAGAACAACAAAAGTTCAAGTGTATTAATATTGTGGAATTGAAAAGTAAGTGCACATAATTTTTGAAACATCAACTATGTGCTTAAACCTCACGAAACAAAAAATGAGAAATAGCAATTTAAACAGTGAAGCAGATTCTATCTTTCCCATCAAAGGGCACATGGCCTGGATTGAGCCTGAGACAAGAGACACTGTTATTTCTTTGTATAAATAAATTTCCTCCCTCAGTCCTTCTTTCTTCAGAAATGTGTCACATAGAATTTTGATGCACTGAGAGTGAGTCTACTGTTTAAGGATATGTATTTTTTCACATACTTGAAAATTCAAGCCCTGTCCTTCTGGCGCCCAACGATAAAAGTAGTGGGTTGGAGGAGCATGGAAATCTCTGGCTCTTTTAGACTTGAAGTCACTATGCTGATCTCCCAATTGGCCTCTTCATCAGGGACGTTCAGTGCTCCCTTCACTTCCTTTTTCTTCCCTTTCCCTTTTTTATTTTGTTTTTGTTTTTGTTTTTGCATGATTTTTTCTGTGCACTATTTTTGCCTTGCATACCACCTTTCAAATCTCACTAGTGCTCAGGGTCAGCTCCAGGCAGAACAGAGAAGCCTCTGCTTGTCCTATGGCGTATCCCCTCCCATGGATTCCCAGTATCAAAGGTGGCTCCCTGGATGCCTTCCTTGGTGGCCCTGACTCTAATTTTTTCCTACTTTCCTCTCTTCCCTGTTCTAATCCAAAGGTGTCATTCTGTTGCATCTTCTCAGCTTCTACTATTGGGTGAAGGAAGGTTTGCCATTCTTCTAAGGTTACCTGCTTTTATATTAATATTGTGTATTTTATTTTGCTGAATACCATTTCTTAAATGCCATGTGGAACATGTCACTGCTCAGGAAGATTGTTGGCAAAATCTAAACCTGGCTCCCAAGCTCTCCGTAATACACACCTACCTTGTAAAAGAGTGTAGTGGGGTGTAAGTAGCAGTTTTCCCTTCACCATTAGCCTCGCGAAGGCATTGGTATAAAATTATAAGTAATTCAGATATATACAGATGTGTCTTATTTATACTAAGTGCAGTGAAGGCCTCATTAACTAAAAAGTGGTCCAAAAAAATTGGAAGGAAAGAAAGCCATTCACACCTGAAATGGTGTTGTGTCTCGAATTTTATAGGCCATTGTTGTTAAGACTCCTTCAGTTATTATTCTTTCCGCATTGCCTAAATACAACCCTGTTACCGAATTCTTAAAACCAAGCGAACCATTTTTTAGTTGAGCTCATATATGTGCCATCTTGATCTTTTTGGGTGCAGCCCAAAAAATTGGACTTGAGCACATTTATTATTTTACCCAACATTATTTCCCATGGCACCTTCAAAAGCTTCCCTTCGTTATGTTTTCAGCACTCCAAGAACCTGCTATGATCAGTCTTGGCTCTACTTATTAGATTGGAATGTCTTTGAGAACCAAAAGGCATCTTGTTCCTATATTAATTCTTCACAGCACTGAAATGGTATTGTATACATAGGGTAGTATAAACTGTTTATATGATGACATCTTCTCTTGACCTGAATGATCTCCTCCTACAAATCCTACCATATTTTTAAGGCACCAGTCAAATTTCACCTCTTTTATCAACTACTCTCATCCCTGCTTTCATATTTGGGAAGTTAGTTACTATCATTCAATTTATCTTTTAACATAATATTGTCTTGTGTTGTTGTTAATGCCATTCATATATGCCTGTTTTCTCTCCCCAACTTGGCTTTCAGTACTTTATTGTATCCTTTTTCTTTTTCAAGAAAATAAGTAGCTTTATTAACATGGCAACTTTTTTCCCTTCATAGTAGGGTTTTGACCCCAAATACTTATCAGTTCTGCTATGTAAATGAACTTATGGCTGGACTACTTACGGAACCTTGAAGATACCTATTCCCTGTCCAGTGTAGGGTCCAATGTAGACAGTCCTCACTTTTCTTCCCCAGCCCCTCAACAGCCTCTGTAAATATCTCTTTCATTTCATGTCCAGAATCCCCTGAAATGCATCAGGGGATTCCATCAACTTGTATAGAATACCAAGATCTTGTCTTCTGTTCTAGGTTACGTGTCAAATAAAGCTGAGTCAGGCTTGTCCAAACAAACTGACCAAATGGGTTATGTCAATTAGTGTGTCACATGAAATTTAAATTTTGAACAAAACACCCTCTCCTCCTTTGGTCTCACCCAGAAATTAAAGTCTCAAAATATAGACAATACCATCATCTGCTCCTTCTTCTGATTCATCCATACTAGCCATGTACGCCCCATTCACATCCCCAGCTGAGGTCTGGTCCCTTGTTCAGCTTCTTTAGTACTTGTTGCATGGAGTTGTCTTCTAGAAGTAATGTAGCTCCTTCAGTGCCTCCAGAGCTGGAGAAATCCAATTCTGAGTC